TTTTGATATATGTGTAGAATTCAGCAACATTCATCAACAATCTTCAAAAAGTCCATACCACTAATAGTGATCGCTTTATAGCCTTATTTGTATATTTTAAGGAGAAAGAAGAAAAATAACTGTTTCATATGAAGCAGACAACAGTTCTCTTTTTAATAAAATACATCCTGACACAAGTCATTGGATATCATGTTAAAATTGCACGCTTTACACTTAGGATTACACTCGAACCACTAGATTGGCCCCCAGATCAATATTCCCAGAATTGACTCCAAGCTATTACTACCTACAAAACTTCAAAGAAATGCTGTGAGGAAAGAAATTAGACTCCAATAAAAAAAGTCATCGCCGAATATGATGCACATTTGAAGGTCAAAGATGAATCATTCTACAAAAGAAGTATCAAAATGTTAGAGAAGCCTTGGCATGATTGTGTTGCTTATGAAAGATACTACGGTCATGCATAAAATCGAATTTTGCTAAAAAGTTGAACCGTTGTGTTAAGTAGAAACTTTATTCTTCGAAAAGATTAATAAATTAAATGGTTCAATTAATTTTTGAACAAGTATTTACAATTTAGTTTGACGATAAATTTTTGTATATATTAAAATTTTATACATTTGTTATGAGTTCCAGACGGAAGCTGTGAGAAAATGCGTTACTTTGGTTGGATACCCACAACATGGAGTTCAGATGAAAAATGCGTTACTCTTTTAAAAAATGTTTGCTTCTTGTAATTCACTAAATTGCCATTAAATTTTTAGCTACTGTTTGGAGACTCCAGAGCACAACTTTAATTTAAATAAAATTCTTCTGCTGAGCATTAAGGTTAATTCAATGTTTAACTTAAATTTGCATACTTTTTTATTGTTGTAATGATCGTGCAAATGGACTTCTTTTGTCTTGTACTACACCGCGACTTACGCGGAAGACTGGTGATCTTTACTCGTCCCCGTCCCCGTCCTTGTACTCGTCCTCGTTCTCTTGTCTGCGTAACAATAAAATTAAGCTAAAAGATAT